CGGCCACTGCCTCAGGTCCTCCTGGTCGTCCCATGTGCGATCCTCATCATCATCTACCTCCAGTCCGAGAGGCCTGCGCTCACCAGCATTCCGAGCAGCGTTCCAGCCATAGAATGTTTGCCGCGCTACATCATGCTGCGCGTTTGCCGCAGGCAAAAGTTCGAGGAAGCCACGCAGAAGTGAAGGAAGTAGGCGGTGCGTTTTTTCTGGTGTAATGTGTGCTTGTGCTGTTTTACATTTCAATCCTGACTGCTGCAAGTGGTCAGAAGAAACCAAAGCCCAAATAAACGACGGCAGAGACCATGGGTCTCTCAATTTCCTTCCATAGCTGGCACCAAGACCTTGTGATGCCTTGTGTGATTTGGCAGAGTGTGGTGTAGGTTGGCCCTTCTCTTCCGCAGCCTTTGCAAGGATTAGTTTCATGTGCCGTGACACTCCCAGAATGAGCTGCATGCAAGGCAAGCATCCTTCCAGTGACACCCTGATGCTGTACCTCACGAAAAGTTACAGGGCGTCAGAGCCGGTTCTGCCCCATTGTGAGCGGCCATGTGGCTGCAGAATTGCATGGCATGCGAACTTTGACATTCCCAACTTAATTGCATCATCAGACAGTAGTGGCTACGATATGCCGGCTTGGCTCACATGACTAAATGGCCGAATGATGGACGACGCCTGCGCCAAGGAGAATGGCAAGGCCGTTAGACGGAGAATCTGAAGATATCCTGGCAACATTCGACAAATACGTGTGTTCAAAATCAGGGTACTAGGTGCGCGTCATCCTGCTCCGCTTCTATGTCATAGACCAATGCAGGATGCTGCCCGGCCCATGCCAATCAAGCCTCCCCTGCCCGATGCCTAGACTCAAGAGCGCAGAGGCACGGGAGCGCGCGGCAAAGGGTTTCTCCCGAGGCCAACTCTGGTTTGCGCAACATGCGCTGGCGGATGCCTCAAAGATTCGCGATGCCCCCCGGCGTGCACAAGTGAACATGTGAGGCCAGAAGATTCTGGTGCCCCTGTCCATGAGCGAGCAGAGCGACAGCGACGCGACACTGGTGCGTGCGCTGCTCAGCCACGGTTGCTGGAGGTGTCTCCCGAACGTGGAAGGACATTGCATTCAGCTGGGAGCACATGGTCGACGCAGAAGCTCTCATGAATTCACTGGCAAAGGCCGATCCACCCCGACTCTGCATGTTGTCGCTTGAACGGCCCATCACAGACTCATCACAGGCATTGAGTCACTTTCCTTGCTGCACCGGGCGATTCGTTCGCAGGCAAGTCGTCCGTGACTCAGCATTCTATAGGTTCTGGCAACACTCTCAAGAGAGTGACAGAGACTAGCTGCGCCAAGTTCGTGGAGCCTGCCGCCGGAGCACTGAGCTCAGAACCTTTGGAGGTCCAACTGGACGCACAGGACAGAGAAAGTCCATGGGACTGAGTTGACTCGAGATCATCGGCAGCACATATGTAGTCTTAGAGGTGGCCAGCTGTCGCCTGGAAGAAAGAGCACTGCGCAATCACTTCAAGTGCTTTTTGTTGACCTGAGGTGAAGGTGAAGCAGCCCCGGCTTTGCATTTTGTGCAACAACGCGTTGACCTGAGATGCGCGCAGCCGTGCGCAGCCCCTGTGTGTCTAGGTGTGTTCTGAGAATTTCCGTTGACTTCGTGCATGTGCTGATTCCTCATCGATTTCCAAGGCCGGGGTCAGCTTCAGCCATAGTCGCTATGATGGCAAAAGACCATCTGACTTGATCTCAGAGATTCCATAGGCAGCTGGATTCGACATTTCTGAACGTGGTCGGTTCCGACTCAGTTCGGGAATTCGACTCCAGGTCCTTGGCCCCATTACCGGTCTGTTTGACCGAGCAGTTGGTACTCTGGCAAAGGCATGCCGCTTGCAAGATGATCGAAAAGACTTGAACACGACATGCCCGGGGTCTTTGAGAGGCAGATGGCAAAGGTGGGCCACTCCTCAGGGCCGCTGGCTCAGAATCTCTGGAAAAAGTCCGAGAGTACCTTTGCACTGCTTTTGCTGGTGCCACTGGTCCAGGCACGGCACTTCGAAGCGCAATCAAAAAATACACACGCTGGACCTACCTCTCGACATCTGCAGCAAAGCTTGAGCGCCATGAAGTACATCTCTGATCATCTCTGTGTCGGAGCATGCATGGCCTTGGAAGCTCTGTTCTAAGGTCAAACTCCTGGAATGCGAGGACGCGGCCCAACAAACACAGCAAATCTTGTCGGAAGCTTCGCGAAATGTGTGCATGAAGATCTGCACAAGGATTCACATGAATCTTGTGGGCAGGACGGCCAGATCCTGGCACTGAGCTTCTCTCAGGGACTCGCAGATGTGGAGGGCATAGGCACGTCTTAGGTGAGGCTTGGTAGCATGGAGCCCGATCAGTACCGCCCTGAAGGCTTTTTTCTGCAAGCATGGTGCCATACTCATCGGGGTGAGGACACTTGCTTATGACAGCCATGCTTGCTTCAGGTGTAGGTATCGCAGGAGCATCACTCCTGCAGGAACCAGGGCCAGCATCTCTTGATGCCCGTGTTGTGTTAGAAGGTGCAGTGAACAATGCATGGAGCCCAGTCTGCGTACGGCCCCGGTGTCATAGCGTCGCATGCTGCAAGGATCGGCTAGGATAGCTTAGCACGGGTTGCTCAGGGATTCCCAAAGCTGGACTCCGCGTTCACCTATCTGCATAGACGTGAGCTTGCCACGAGAGTCAGAACCTCGGGGGCAAAGCATTTCACAGCATCTGGCACGATATCATGCGATGTTTGCCCAGACGGCTAGCCTTGCTCTCTTTCTCACATGCATACCATGTCTACCACGACCACGAGCGTTTTTCCCATCAAGCCAGGATTGCACCGATGGCAAAGTCACCATCACATCGCCCATCACTTGAAATCGGAATAAGCTTAACAACCTTAACAGTCATGACTGACCTCGAGACTAGGAGTTTCGTTGTACGCCGGCGAGGTGCATGTAGTATCAACGCCTTGCGCAACTTCCTGCATTTCGCAGCAGGAAGTGCTGTCAACCCATTGGTTTACTTGCCGGCGCACTAAACTCGAGAATCCTTGCCGGAGTTGATCGGATCTAGAAGTGGCAGTGCAGTCCCGCAGGCTTCTGGCCTGTTTTCTCGAGCCATGGGATCGGCCTCTTCCGTCTCTCCTGCAGCATCAGCTATGGTTCAAAGTATACAGCCACCAGCAGCAGCTTCTGCAGTGGCCTCTGCAGTAGCTTCAGCGGCAGCTCCCTTAATCAGCAAGCACTTGGGGGAGCTGGGATTACTGTCAACGAAGGACTCGTCCTTAAATCTGGTACAGCTGTTAAGACTTGCCCACTGGCAGCTAAGCAGTGGAGCAGATACGAGGAAGATGCTGTGCAGCTACTTCCTCATCCTGGCCGCGAAGAAGACCCTCAGCCAGACTTCCTTGGTGAAGTTTACCAAGTTGTTCGCTGGGATTGGTCCCGAGATCGTGCCAGGGCTGGTCACTGAGGTTTGGACCGAGTTGCGCGAAGCAGCAGACGACGGGGAACTGGACGAAATGCGGGTCAGCGAATCCAAGTTGGCAAGCTTAGAGGCTCTACTCCAGGCCGCGTGCATGAGCGTATTAGAGTCCGATTGGAAGCCAGACACATGGCATGTACCAGAGACTTCTACAGCGCTCGGGTTTCGGGAGGAGGCACTGCCCACTCTAATGAAGAAGGCTGACCCTGTCGTACGAGCTTTGACGGGAAGGTGCGACGAGACCAAAGAAAGCACAGCAGCTCCAGAATCTGGGCAAACTGCAAAACAAGTAGCGATGGCAGTACCCTTCATGATCCAAGTCTCACAAAGCTGCAGACGGTTGGTTCAATTGCTGGAAGACCATGTGCATCCATTGTTCGAAGGCCCGCCCCAATCGACCTGGTTAGTGGAGTCCTGCAAGTTCGTAATACCCCCTGGCCGATGCCCTCTCACGGGTTTGGACTTTGAGCAAAGCTTCACATTCTCTTCCTTTGGGTTGAATTTGCTAGACCGCTTGAGGGAAGATGTCGCCAGCCTGGACGACAGAAAAATTCTGCAGGAACTTGGCGATATCAACTCGCCCTGTCGATCTTTCAGCACCAACAGCCGGTCAGGTGCAATTTTCTTGACTTCGTGCAATGGCAGCTTCATCGTGAAGACCATTTCGCGCAAGGAAGCCATGGCACTAATGGACGTAATGCCAAAGTATGTGCAGAGGATGTGTGGCGACAGAGTGGGATCAATGCTGGGTAGATATTTGGCATTGTTTCGCCTCAACTTTGGTGGACTCCTTGAGGGATCTCGTTACATTACCATCATGCAGTCCATCATGGATCCATTGCCGCAGCTGCCTCTACTGTCTCTGTATGACCTGAAGGGGTGTTCAGTTGGTCGCCATGTCTCGGATGTCTCCACCGAGTTTGTGCGAAAAGATCAGAACTGGTTGGATGATGGCGAGCGGTTGCAGCTTTGTGCAGATGATGCATTGAGACTTAGGCAGATGCATGATCGTGATACTACCTTCCTCAGTATGTGCAACATTATGGACTACAGCATCCTTGTGGGCATAGGTTTGCGGTCAGATGATGCAAGTGGAGTAGACTGTGGGGCAGAGGTGTTACAAAGCGCAGATGGGCAGTATTACTATTTTGTGGGCATTATTGATTTTCTTGTGGAATACGGCCTCACGATGAGACTGTACCATTTGTTGAAACACGAAATGCGGGGTATGAAGAAGAAGGACTGCGTCGTCATTGACCCTGACTACTACGCAGAGCGTCAGAGAAAGTTCTTGCGCGAAGTGTTGCTGGACCCTAGCGTGACAGCTGGTGACGTGGACTCCATGCTTGCAGCTGAGATTGCTTCACTGCCGCCTCCATGCCACGATGAAGACCTCTGGATTGCCTCTTGTCGACCGCCTGTGCAGCTTGACCACTTGCTGGATGACTGCCAACTCTACCAGCCAGATTGCAGACATTTCTGTGAGCATGGGCAGAAATGTGAGCTGTTTAAGGCTCAAGCTAGAACGATGACCGAGGCTCAGCGACTCAAAGTGCAGGCGCACTGCGACTTCTTTCTGCATCCTACAGGTGAAGCGGCGAAGCTGTCCAAGATTCATGAGGCTTCTTGCAGGAACAAGGAAGGCTTCACGGCAGAAACTTGGGGAGCATACGAGTACTGGAGCATCGATGGATCTGAAGACATTTCAGACTTCCCGTGCCAGCTGAACGAGAGTCGGGTGTTGGTCTATGTGCACGGCTTTCGTACACCTTTCCACCGAGCGATGAGTTTCCTGTACTTGCTCCAGCAGCGGTTGCGCATGGAGACCGGGGGAGATCTGGCAGCGGAACCGGAGCGCACGAACGTCATCGGGTTCTTGTGGCCAAGCCACAAAACCTCTTACCCCGGCGCCCGCGCGAAGATTCCGGGGGCTGCAGTCAAGCTGCAGGCGCTCCTGCAGAGGTTACATTCGAAGGGATGTACTGTGACAGTGGTCGGCCACTCTTTAGGAGCAAGAGTGGCTCTTTCTGCTGTAAAGACTCCCATCCCAGAGACCTTAGTTGATCATATGTTTCTCTTGGGGGCTGCTATCCATCACAACGCCTTAAGCAGCACAGGAGATTTCCCACGCGAAGCGCTAGCTGTTCGCTCGATCACTAACTTCTTTTCTAAGAACGACGCAGTTCTTGCAGGGGCCTTTGGTCTTGCTGAGTTGAGCTCCGGCGGCCCGAAGCGTGAAGCAGCGATGGGCTTTTGCGGAATCTCTGAGCCGTTGCCTGACGGCTGCGCCTCGTATGACGTTTCTTCAACGGTTCCTTCACACAATGCTGATGATTATATCTTGTCCCCGCCGGTCATGTCTGCTGTGGTTGCGGCTGCTTCCAAGCAGGGCAGGGACATGCTTGAGACTTCAGGCCAAGCAGAAGCCTTCCTGAGTAGCGTAAGGCTGCTGCGAAGTGAAAGTCTTCCAGAGGAAGCTCGCGAGGACGCCGCAAGTCTTTCAGATGAGGGCAGTGGAGCTGAGGGTCCCAGCTGAGCCCCGAAAAGGGCTCAGGTTTCCCCCCGCATAAGCCTGTTACATTAGAGCAGTGCGGGAACTGCTTCTCCCCCCCCCCGACCCGTGCATGAGCAGCTCTTAAAGAGCTGCATTCAGCAGGGTTCTCCAGTTCGACGCACCAAAGAAGGCTCCTGCCTGCTCTACCAGTACTGGACGAGCTTGAGACTGCTGCCATGTCATGCCATGTCCCACGCTGCACCAACGAGGCGGCCACGGCAAAAGCGGCGGCCGCCGCTGCAGCCGAAAGGCTTGGTGCCATGGGCCTACTAGGGCTAGTGCCGACGAGTTTTCAGTCGTTGGCTTGAGGGTCCCTCTGTCTGAGGGCTCCGGGTCCCGCTGAGGTTAGGGGTTCAATTAGTCGATCAAGCATGTTGACATTTTCCACTATGAAGTCCTACCGTCCTACCTGATGACGCACATCTATGGTCGAAGCCGGCGTTGGGTCTGGAGAAATCTTCATTCCTGTCGAAACATTGTACGGAAAAGGAAGCACTCAAATCGGCTCTGCCTAGAGACTGGTTTTCAGTCTCGTCAGTATATAAACAAGGTCACCACTTTCTTGCTGGACTGGGACGAGTGCCACACACAGCCGCTTCTTGTGAGAATCCATGCAGCGTGACTTTGTCACCCCTATCTGCTGGCTAGGCTTCGAACCCTGGCTGACGACTTTTCGCGGAAACTGCGAGGTAATGTCTGCTATGGCAGCAGTCGAATCGAACCTCTCGCAGCAGACCAAAGACTTTGCATATTCCAACAGGTCGGCGCTTGATTTACGATTCTGAGACGCTCTCCCATGCAGAGGCCTCCGCATGGGAGCATAAGGGTTGTCTCATCAATTTCATCACATTCCTCCGTAACCAGGTAGCTTTTGCACTTGTGGCGAAGGCCTCAGAAGTCCTTATCCATTCGTGCGGCCAGTGACTAGGGCATCGCACGTGCCGCCTCGCTACCAAGGTTGAGGCGCTCGGCAAGGCCGTCTCTGCCAGCGTATGGCCAGCCAACTCAGTGGCTCGGCAGTCCGGGCAGCCAGACTACCAGCCCGCACATAGCCAGGTTGGACTATCGCGTCACATTTGGCTTCGACCGCCTGTTTGGGCACGTGGGCACCCCAGATCTCTGGTGGTGTTGTCAGTGCAAACAAGATGCGGACAGGTTACGGTTACAGCTTTGCCGAGCCAAGGTTCGTGGCATTGCGGACGTGGATTTGCCTGCTGCCACCTACCCAGCAAGAGCCGTTGAATGTAGTCAGAAAGTGCGAACTTCCATCCTTGCGGCAGTCTGATCACTGATGTCTGACGCTCTGCGCAGCCACCGAGGACCATGTGCAAGCAGCTGCAGCGAGGATCCCAAGTTTTCCTTGGCGTGATGGCAGGGAGCTTAACCTTGAAGATCGTGTTTTGTCGGAGGTGATCCGAAAGAAGCTCCAGATTGCCAAAGACAGTCCAGACTTTTGGTGCTGGAAGGCTCACACACAAGCTTCGAGGGTTTGGAAGGTTGAGCGGGTCGCTCGTACGAAGCCGAACGTTGTTTCATCCGACGAGTGATGCTTGAAGGCGCAGCAATACAAAACCTGCCCAGTGGAGCAACTTGGTTGCAGTCGCTGGTGCTGCTCACCGACTGCACGGAATGGTCTATGTGCCGCCTTGCTTGTTTGTATTGTCTCCAATCTGGAGGCCAAGCGCTGAGATCATCTTCTCATCCTGGCTCGAGGCTACAAACAGGCTATTGCATGCTGCAAGCATTGCACCGCGGTTTGAGGCTGCCGACCTTCGAAAAGTCAACTTCGGCGGCAAAACTTCAGGATCAGGCCGCGGCTTGTGCGGCCTGCTCCAGCATGTTTCTACAACGATGTTCACGTTTCGCTTTTATTCCACTGCCGGTTCACTGTTGTTGCATCGGGGTACCTCCGTCATCAGGCAGAGTATTATGCAAGCTTTCGAGTGTCAATGGCACATCCCCATCGACGGGCTTTACACTCAGCAAGACCACGAGGCGACGAGGAGATACGAGGAGTCACAGAGTCAATGCTGCGGTCTCGAGGATATTCTCACCGGAAGCTACATGTCGGATTTCACAGGGCACGCCCTGTTTCAATGCCGTGTTTCAATGGAGCTGAACGGACACCTGGCGTTTTCAGCTTTCACCAGGAAAGTTACCGGGAGAGGCGTCAATCAAAGTTACCACCAATTGTTCAGTGCAGGTTTGGGGAGCGGCTTCTGGCAGTGGTGGACCAGCAACCCTGAGGCACCAACCATTTCAGTAGCACACGCAATTCTCTGTGTGGCCTTCTTTGATTCCGTTTTGGAGCCGTACTTTCGGCTCAAGCATATTCATAGTTCAGCCTTGCCCGTTTGGCATTACAGGCGCCAGGCAGGTTGGGCGGGTGGCCACATGCTGTTGTGGCAATCTACTGTGAATGCACGGTTACGCTCAGGGACATCGGGGGACGCCACCAACGACGTCGGGCGAACGTTCCAATGCTTGGGGCTGAGCTGGAAGAGCAGGACCAGACCTGGTCGAAAGAAGTGCAAGAACTGTCCTCGTATGAGGTCCTCCCATCAGGGTTCCAGCAAGTGGAAGGCTCTTTGCTCACAGTTTCAAGTGGATCACGAAAGAAACTGCTTCTGCAAGATTTCTATGATGCATCCGCTCGCACAGGTCGCGCAGCTGAAGCTTAATGCTGTTTATCGCATGTCACATGGAAGCCATGTGGAGCGCTCAACTGCAAGTCAACATTCATCACTCACAGGTTGCATCAGTTCTGCGTCTGCGCAGAATCAGCAAGGTTTTGCACACTGGCCTTCCCGATGGGACGTCGACACCAGCGGGAGCCTCTGATCGTTTTGAAACAAAGGCAGGAACCACAGCTGGGAACATGGCCAAGAGGCGGACAAGGACACATTCGGAATGCTGCTTGCTCGTGGGTCTCCTCGCGCTAGAAGTCTCAACCTGGCAAGCTTCCCTCCTCCACATTGGAGCCCTGTCCTGGGTGGTAAAAGTCTATTCGAAGCACCTCTGCGCTCAGTTGGAAGCGCTGGAAGACTTGGACCGCGTGGAGCTGGAGGACAGCTTCGCCGCGTTAATGTAGCATTTGTGAACAGCGTCTCGAACGTGTTATGTGCCAATGTACATCCTCAGCGCAAGATGTGCTACGCAGAGAAGGGTCTCAAGCCAGACTCACAGTCTAGTAGTGCAGCCAGTTGGGATGCAGGCAGAATCTGCTGGGCCTTCTTTGCAAGGACAAGGATGTGCAGCAGCAGAGCCTCATCAGGCGAGCTACCACGAGACAGCTGCACCGAGCGCAGGAGACGCGTCTGCTTCGTTCAGATAGGCACTGCTCGAGATCCTCCCTCGTGGCACCCAATCTTTTCCAGCTTGTGCCGTTGTGCAGTACGGATGCTGCCCCGCAGGATGCGAAGCCGTTCGTTCCTGCGGCTGTCTGGAGCCCGCAGAATCCACACATGCACAGGTGTCAATACTTGCTGGCAAAAGAGGTCCTAGCAGTGGTGATCGGTGTCTGCTCAGTAGTTCCATACAACATGGCTGGAGCCCGAGTCTTTCGCCTTGGTGCACCCGGATGTGTTCAGACGAGAGGTCTTGCGAGGAGATCCTGGCTCACCCCTCTTCATCTCCTTCTGCTTGTTCCATGGCCAAGTCAGAAGCACACAAGTTTGTACATTTGCATGGGTGGAGGGTGCAGGGCAGTGTTGGCTGTCCCTCAGGCATTTGGCGATCATTGGTGGCAGTCTGCATCGGGCAAAGTCTCTGATCATGGAACGAAGTGACCCATCCGAGCCTTTACGGTCGACAGCTAGCACCCACCAACACTTGCCACACTGCAGAGCATTGCTGTAACAGGTATTCCGCTCAGATACCATGCAGGGCACTGAGACAGCTTCCATAATCCATTGTCCATGTCTTTTGTCTTGTCTTTTTCCGTTTGTTTTGCAGCCTGGCCTGGCACATGGAAGAGCACCCGAGTACTGTATGAATGGTTCGCCGAAAGCTCCAGCCGAGGCAGCAATTGTTCTGTTGGGATGCAGCTTCACGAGTTTCAAGTCGGACGTCCACTCCTCGATGTCTTCCACCGCAGCTTGACACAGCGGGTTGACTTTGCTGCGAAGCCGATTTCAGGCATACGTCCGGTTGCCAGCATCTGTTTGCATGATGCTGTCAAACCTGCGCATGATGGCGGGACTCCAAGATTCGCCATCGCTCACCTCGTTTGTCTATATAGGGCCCCCCAGCTGGCGAGGTGGGCGTGGTTGTCCAGCTCTGACCTCAGCAGACGGGACGACATTTACCGTATGATAAGAAGACGGAGTGGCCGCGAAGACTTGCTACGTATTCGGGCTGCGGCTGACAACAGCCAACAACAGCAACAGTCGGAGGCAGTCGATCTAGGGCACCGGCTTGCGCGTACACAGCAACCGAAGCTTGGGATGATCAATCGTCGAATCAAACTATTTTGTGACGAGGTATGCTCTGTTCCGGAAGAGATACTCCTTCTCACAACTGTTTGGCGTCTTTATTGTGACGGCCAGTCGCCCAGCAACTTGAAATTTTCGGCATGTGCCGCAACAAGCCAATCCGAACACGGGCGTACACTTCAGAAGAGAAGATGCTTAAGGTTGGCATCGCTTGGGCCAGTCAGGCCACGCGAGGACTGGAAGCGGCTATAAGGAATCTGCTTTGCAATGCTGAACTGCAGGCCATGCAGTCAGCAAGCGCGGCACGAAGCACCGCAGCGCTTCAGCCTGAGTTCTCCACATGATAGAGGTCGACCTAAAACGCATGGCGGTGGCTTTTCGAGGTCTACGGGTGCTGCTTCATCACATGACTTTGCAGACGAGCCCCCAGATGTCTGCCTAAGTGCGGAATAGAGTGTTTCCAGTTCGAGTAACCGTCAAAACGATGCGCTGGATTCTCAAGGTCGGCTGTGCGGAAGTGCTGGTATCCTCGGTGTCCCTGGCACTTTTGAGTGGTGGACCCAGGGCTTCTGAATCCAGAGCACGGCCGAAGCACAACGTGCTCGGTTTGGGCCTCTGAAGTTGTGTCTGCTTGGTGCGAGGTTCCACCGTCAAGATTGCCTTTGAGAAGCTCAAGCCTTGTCGTCCTCGGCAGCTGCACTTGGAGAGTGGCCTGTGTGTGCCATGAAAGGTTTGGTGAGAGCGTCGAGGAGCAAATTTTCATGCAGCAGCTGGACTGCATTCTTGACACATCTCTTGGAGTTCCTCACTCTCTCAAAGAAAGCTCAGACAGCTTGCATAGAGGTGCTAAGGCCCTAGTTCACGCTACATCCAGTGCACTCCAGGTGCCAGGTCGGACATGACCCGAAATATTTTGTACTGTACTGGGCCTGTAAGCTTGAAGTCCGAACCACCAACCGTAGTTTGCGCCGCACCTCCTCGCCAGGCATCTTTGCGGGATATTTATTGCCAGCACCACGGAGACCTGCATACTTGGGCGCTCGTAAGTAATCAGACTCAGGTCTTCCCCAGCCAATGGGACAAAGTGGGCCCAAGAATCGTGGAGTGGTATCAGAGGCACGAGCTCAAGACTTGCGTTGCCACCCTGCTCTTTTGCGAGGCTGCTAGCTGTGCACACTGGAGCAACTCACAACAGGCCTGACTGGTGGCTCATCCTTAACTTATTGCTGTCCGTCCGCATCTCAGAGCTTGGCTACCTCCACTGGCTGAACTTGCATCCTGCTGTTATCTTCTGTTGCCCACACGCAGCGCCCAGGTGACTTCAACATTTGCAGCACGGGCTGCAGCCGTGCATGCCTCATCGCAATCGGTACTGGGCAAGGTTGGGTGCTCTCCTCGAGTACTTGCTATGACAGATGTCACGGATTGCACCGGGAAGCCTTGTCCTGCGTAACCGTATGCATAGCTTTGCGAAGCTGTTGATGCAGATGTTGTTGCTGCCTCACAACAATCGAAGGTATCGTAAAAGAGGTGCGGGGCTTCTTTTCAGACCCTTTGGAGCAGTCACTGCAGTGCTACATCTTGATGTGCTTCAGTTCATGCCGGGGCCTCGCAAAGACCCCATTTCCGAGACTCCTATAGAGATCTCTCCGACACTGACAACGTCCACGATGCTGTGTGGAACGGCATGTTGACCAGTGGATGCCAACAGTCATAATGAGATGCTTGCTTGTTGTCCAGCTGGGGTTTTGTGTTGACTGTTGTTGCCACCGGTGGTAAGTCTGATCGGAGACTTCTGGCGGCAGCGCATGAGGCACGCATGGCTGGCCGCTCGCCAAGCCTGCCGATGTCTCAAAAAGCAGCAGCAGAAGGCAGATGGAAAAGGCTGTGTCAACACTGCCGAGGCTCATGACACAGCTGGCCTGGCAGCCCAGAATGCTGTCACACGTTTCGCGTCTTCTCAGCTCAGTCGGACTAGCGTGCCGTCACTTGCTCAAGAGATGCCAGAGTCGATGCTGTTTTGCGATCCCTGCAGCTCCTGGTCTCTATGCCTCTATGCCGCACGATGAGGTGCAGACCATCGAATGCTTCTCCCAGTTACTGCTTGTCGCGCTGATCAGAGCACCGCCACACACTGAGCCAAAAGTCTGTGCTGGAGAGGTTGAGAACAGATCCGGAGCAAGAGAGGTTAACAGAGGCGACATCCAAGAGAGTCAAATCTGAGAAGCCGTAGAGTCGGAAAGCAGTGGGACATGGTACGACCCTAAACCGGGGAAGGCATCGAGCGTGCGCTCCGATTTGCGTCGAGTGTGCGCTCCAAATGCATCGAGTGTGCGCTCCTAGGTGTGTTTCGAAGCTGAAATGCTAGGCCGCACGCACGACTTACGGGTCCTCTCTCCCCTGCCATATGTATGTGTATATACATATATATATATACACACATATTAAGCCGGGCTTTTCGCACGCGCAATTCCATTAATTATGGACGCGAAAAAGGCTGGAGGTTTGGGGGCCTGCCGGTATAGGGGTTGACGGGGTAAGGGTATACATACATGTAATATATACATATGTATATACATATATATATATATATATATTTATTTATTTATTTATATGATCAAGTTTTTCCCAGGTCAGGAAATCCCATGAAATCCCTACCACCCTGAAACCCTAAAACCTAGCCATAAAATTCTAAAACCTAAAGGCCCTAAACCCTGAGCGCTAAAGTGTAAACTCGAAACCCTAAACCCTAAAGCACCAAGACCGTAAAATCTGCACCCAAAACCCTAAACCCTTAACCGTAAATCTTCAACCGTAGACCCTAAACCCTAAAACCCGACAACCCTAAAACCCTGAGCCCTGAACCAAAAGACCCTAAAGCCTAAACCCCAAAGCCCTACACTCCAAACCCTTGAGCCCCCAACCCTGAAACCCTGCCACGCTCAAACCCTGAAACCTAAACTGCAAAATTCTGAATCCAAAAGCCCGCAACCCAAAGCCCTAAACTGTAAACCCTAAACCTTGAAACCTGAAGCCACAACCCGGAACCCCAAACCCGAAACCCTAAAACCTAAAACCGTAAAACCTGAACCCAAAGCCTTAAACCATAAACCTAAACCCCTAAAATGCGACAACCCCAAAACCCTATACCCTAAACTCCAAACCCTGAACCCTAAACCCTTGAACCCCCAACCCTGAAACCCTACCACCCGGAAACCCTAAAACCTAAGCCGCAAAATTCTTACCCAAAAGCCCTAAACCCTAAAACCCCGAAGCCTAAAACCCTAAAGCCCGACAGCCCTAAAACTCGAAAAACAAAACCCTAAAGCCTAAAACCTTAAACCTCTCTATCACATAGAAATTTAAACCTTAGAGATTTTCGTGGGCAAGGCCCGAAAATTCGTGGGCAAGGTCCGAAAATTCGTGGACAAGGCCCGAAATTGGTGGATTTCGTGGGCAAGGCCAGCGGGTCGAAAATTGGTGGGCAAGCCCAAATCGATTCGTCGGCCAGAATTCGTGGGCAAGTCCCAAAATTCGTGTAGGCAAGGCCCGAAAATTCGTGGGCAAGGCGCGGGGTTTTCCGCCTTAGGGGTCTGGGGTTTCGGTCTTGAGGTTTCGGCCCTGGGGTTTCTAGGGTGTCGGCCCTAAGGTTGCAGCGCTAAGGGGTTTCGGCTTTAGGGTTTTCGGCCCTATAGGCCCCAGCGTTTCGGCCTTCGGGTTTTGGTTCTAGGGCTTACGGTTTCGGCTCGAGGGTTTCGGCCTTAAGGTTTTTTAAGGTTTCGGCTTTAAAGTTTCTGGCCTAGGGTGTCGGTCGGCCTTAGGGTTTCGTCTCTAGAATTTTCGGCCCTAGAGTTTCGGCCCTAGGGTTTCGGCCTTGGATTTCGGCCTTAGGGTTTCGGCCCTAGGGGTTTCGGCCCTGGAGTTTCGGCATTAGGGTTTTTGTGTTAGGGTTTCGGCCTTAAGGATGGGGCCTTAGAATCTCGGCCTCAGGTTTTCGGACTTGAGGTTTCGGCTTGAGGTGCGTTTGGGGTTCGGGATGAATAAAGTGCAGCTGTAAGTGAATATCGTGGAGGTGAATGAAACTTTGTATTTTTCCACTGTTATGGGATTCTAAGGTGGGCGGGTGGTATGTTTGAACTGTGAATGTAACTCTACTATAAAACAGCTCGACCCGGAGCTGTTGAACCCTAAGCCCTAAACTGTAAACCCGAAACCCTAAACCCTACAACCCCAAAACCGTAAAACCTGAAACAAAACCCTGAACCCTAAACCGTGAATCTTCAACTGTAAACCTCAAACCCTAAAGCCTGACAACCACAAAACCTTAAGATCTAAACCCAAAACCCTAAAGCCTAATCCCCAAAGCCTTCGTAACTCTAAACCCTGAGCCCTAAACTCTAAACCCTGAACCCTAAACCCGTCAACCCCCAACCCTGAAACCCTACCACCCTGAAACGCTCAAACCTAAACCGTAAATTCTAGAACCAAGAAGCCTTAAACCCGAAACCCTAAAACCCCAAAACCGTCAAACGTGAACCCAACCCTAAACCGTAAATCTTGAACCATGAACCGTAAACCCTAAACCGTAAATCTTGAACCATGAACCCTAAACCCTAAAACCCTACAACCTAAGCCCCAAGCCCCAACCCTAAAACCCTAAACCCTGAACCCTAGACCCTAAATTCTAAAAGCCAACAGCCAGAAAGCTTAAATCCTGAACCCCTAAACCTTAAAAGTAGCGAAACCCTAAGCCCTAAACCCTAAAACCCGAAAGCCTGAACCCAAAACCCTGAACCCTAAACTCTAGGACCCTGAACCCTAAACCCTAAATTCTAAAAGCCAACAGCCTGAAAGCCTAAATCCTGAACCCCTAAACCTTAAAGCGAACAGCAGTGCGGAGTGCAAATCTGCAACTTGCACACCCTAACAGCAACGTAACCAGCCGCATGTCCTGAAAGCGACGCCGAAGCATAATTAGGACACCAAACGGAGCACGAGCTTGGAGAAAGGCCATGCAAAAACCATAATTCCCAGAGGTTGCGAAGCATAAAAAAACCGCAGGTGACGCTCAGCTGGCCAGGCGTTAAACCCTAAAGTTTCGGTGGGCGGCAAAGCATACACCCCGAAATGGAGAATGGAAGGGACCAGCAACCCGACAAGCGGTGGTAGTGGCATACTTGAAAACCAAATGAGTGATGCCCAGACTCGAAAACCTAACACAAGGCGGTTGGATTGGATGGCAGCCCGAGCGTTCCAGGAATCCGCCAACCCGAGAAGAAGTACACTGCAAGAAGGCATAAACCCTAAGCCCGTAGTTGAGTGAAGGACAGACTGAAGTCATCCAAAAAAAAATCTCCGAACTCGAGAAGGATTGAACTTTCTGAGAAGCCGTGAACTCCATGAACCTGGAAAGCAATGAGGAGCGGCAGACAGACTTTAACACCACAACATGACTCATGGCCAAGCGCCAGACACAAAAGAAGTGCTGAGTGCGACAGGTGAGTGGCAGACCTCGAGCCCAACGGAGCGACGGTAACACTCAACCCCAAAGCAATATCGAAAAGCCAAGAAGCCGGAAACTGCTAAAGCAGTGAGGTAGCTTAGCTGTGGTTAAGTTCGCAAACCATGAATCTGAGAAGCAGTGAAGTGGAGCTAACCGCAAACAGAAAAGGAGTGTGGAGCAGCAAATCCAAAACGCCAAGAAGATTGATGGCCAGATCCGGCAACACCGAACGATAGCTGGGTGCAAGTGCAGGAAGCTGGCTGGGAGTAAACGCCAAACCCAAATACGCGGACTAAATGCTGCAACTCTTTCAAAACATGCCACCTAGCACGACAAAGATGAAGGAGAGAGAGGTAGCAAGACAGCAGTGGGGAGTGGCACACCATGGCAAACCTTACACCACAAAAAAGGTGATTCTACAGCTGGTAGACCTTAAGGAAAAATATGTGACCAGCAGTACATCCTGCAAGCGACGACGGGTAGCAAAACATATAGCCAAAAAGCTGGTAAACGTCGCAAAGCTTAAACCCTAAAGAGATGCTGTGCACGAACCAAGTTGTACGCGCCGGCAAGCTTTAAACAACGCAAAAATCTCGCCGGGCAGCAAACCATGAACCCCGAAGCACCAGTGCCCAGACTCATTGCTTGAAACATTCGAGGTGGTAAGTAACACACCCGAAATGGAAGAACATGCAGGAAAGCATCACAAGGGCGGGCAAACGCCAACGCCCAGCCAGATTATACGCCAGTCAGATTTGGACACCATGATCGACATTGCTGGATAGTAGACAATAACACCTTACAAGAGTGATGGCTAGACTTTCCGTCAAGAAATCATGTGCTAATTGTCAACCCGACCGACCCGCGAAGAGGTGAAACGCAGGAAGATGTAGGCCCGAACAACATGGTGAATGTCAAAGAATAAACCCGTACTGTCTGAGGGACAGACGGAACACATTCACAAAATACTATGTCTGGCAACCGAACCCGACAAGGAGTGAAATGTAAGAAGCCGTGAACGCGAAGTCTGTAAGAGCCCGAACGCATTGCTGCATGGAAACTCCAAACCCAAACAGCGCTGAACCGTGGAAGCGCCCAGAGCACGCAGCACCGAGCAGCCGCGCGCAGTGGCAAATCTTAAAGCGCCAGGTATCTGACGCCCGCAGAATCTGGAACCTAAGATGGGTGGGTGGTAATAAATGAGGTATACCCATATGTTGGAAAAGGAGCGATGCTTACAACGCCGTACATCCAAAATGCAACACTAGCTCAGGCAGCGGCACAATGCAAGAAGCCTTACGTGGGAAGCAGTGACCTGCAGCTTCAAAATGGTGGAGTGTAATGCAGTGTAGAAACGACGGAGGCCAGACTTGACCTGTGAATCCTAGAAGGTATGCTCCATGGCACAACAAGAAAAAGATGTGAAACGTCCCCAACAATAGCCGGCAGTGGCAAAATTGCACCGCAACATACGCGATGTCCAGCCCTTGGAATTAAAGGAACTTTATAGACATGCCAAGAAGAAAACCATAGCCGGATTTGTGTTGGATAAGTAGAACCCGAGACAGACAGCGTAAATCAGTGGCCTCCAACCTACAAGCCTCGGCATGAGTGACGACCGGACATGAAACCCTAACTGTTAGTTGAACTCCGAAGTGAACAGACTGAAGAAACCAGCAACCTGGAAAACGACTTGGTAGCGGCTAACCTCATATCCGGAATGAGTTATGCACGAACTCGAACAACCAAAAGCCCAAACACCAAAAAAGGAATGAAATGCAGGAATGGTGCATCGGGCAAATTCCAAAGCCAACATGAATAAAGGCCAGATTTTGATTTGTAACAGATACTGCCCGATGGCATACCGAACTGTCAACTCCCAGAGCAATGCTCTTTGATCCGAAAAGACGCGAAATTCGTGATTCTGCAAACGTGTCAGAGCAAGTTTGTTTATATTTAATCTGCAGTCCGTTTAAGTTTTCCCAGAACCGTTGGCTGTTTTGGAAGCGTTCAGAATGGCTCCCAATGTTGAATGTGCGGCGTTGAGCCACCGACTGACACACCAGGAATTTGAATCGAAACACTGAACAACTCCGAAGCCAATGTCCCGTGTTTTTGTGTAGATGACACGTTCCGTTGTTGAAAGGTGCCTTGCTGCCTTGCTGCTGAGGCCGTTTCCACCTGTCGGTTTTTGGCTGGGCACGCTGGTGCTCCTGATCGGGCATCTCTGCCTTGAAGTTTTGCGGTCAGAATCAGCTGTGTCGGTGTATTCGCCATACTTTTGCTCGCGCTTTGCAACTTGCTGCAGTGACCATGGCCAGGACGCTTCAATATCTTCGTGCGTCAGCGGACCGGGCCTCTTGAAACCTCATGAGCTAAGACTTCGGAGAACTTGAACGTAGCACTCTGCGCAAAGTGTACAGATGGAGGTCATTGGCAGAGAGATAGAGAAGATGACTCGACTGCAGGATGTGCCAAAGCCTCCTGTCCGCTCTGACGAAGTGAGCGTGCCTGCAAAGGAGCAATGACAGCAGAGCATTGCAATGGCTGGCCGTCACGAATCGATTTGAAAGAACTGCACTACTTCTGCGCCGAGAGTTTTTGCAGATCCTGCAGTGGGTACAGCTGTTCTGGTGTTCGTATTACTGCACCTTGTCCCAGGTGTGTGGCAATCGATACACGAGCTGTTTTGTGCTTAACAGGCACGCAAACGAGCTGGCGGTGGTGGTGCTGTGGGAGGCAATGGAAAGGGTTGCGATCGCCTCAGTGAGCAACATAGTTCAACACCGGGAAGTCGCAGTTTTGCGTCTCTCACCATAATGCCATTGAGCTCGCTGCATTGTGCGTCAACTCAGATTCACCAGAGCAATAGGTAAAGCCCCAGCTCCGCAAGATCTACAAGATCCTCCAAAGCAGGAATCCTTCTGCAATGCGCAAAGACTGCAAGGGAAGCTCCACATGCAGACCTCGAGAGCTTGCACAAGCCTGTGATGCCGAAGCAATGCGGTAATCCTGTTGGGGAGCAGTTGACGAGAATCCTGCCGTTCGGATTGGCTCGTCACTGGCAAGTGTGCCTCAAGCCAATGTGTGACATGGAAAACTGGCCTTTGGAATCAGATCCTAGTGACCTATCGCTGCTACTTGGGAGCTGATCCAGTGATTTCCCCAGGGCTATATAGAGCGCAAGCTGGGAAAGCTTTGCAAGGTCCTTCATTGGTTGTGCTGCTTCCACACGCAGACGGCGTTCAAGTTCAGGCTCGAATAAGATGATAACGGAGCTCCCCGCATGTGCGGGGCCCTGTCATGGCCTGTCAGGCGCTGCTGTCCCAAGCAGCCGCATCGAAGCTTTGTGCAAAGCACAACTGCCTTGTTTACTACCCATGAAAACTTCAAATCGTTACGTGATGAGCGACTTGTTAAGCTATACGAATCTTTCCTATTTCGAAATACCGAAAGACAACTGTCTTGGAGTCTTGGTCTCTTAGTTGACAATGTCTAAAAGGAAGCGATAAGTTTCAACGTTTTCGCAGATGCAGCGGCCCGATGGTTGCGCTGGCATCCAAACAGCTTGTTCCTATATGAAGATACCTCAGGAAAGCGATGCACATCTGGACCTTTTTCAGGATTTCGACTTAATATTAATTATGCCTTTCGGACAGAAATGCCCTCTTTAGATTTTAAAATCTTGGCTCTCCACCATGTCATTATTAAGTTATTGGGATTTGAAGTGCTTCTGACCTGGAACGATTTACTGGATTTTTCATCCGGAATCTTGCCGCCAAGGATGAATATATTGGACATACTACTAATATACCTTAATTAGAACTTAATATGGCTTGGAATCGGTTAGCCTTTTTTGAGATGAGATGATGGATTGGATCCTATTATGTTTATTGATTTTTTTTTGGATTTGCTACCTAACTTGTCCCAATCGTGGTATTAGTATTTGGGATGCATTATTTCTTTCCCCTATCTTAGTTGAGGCTTCATTATGTATATATATATATATGAATTCAATTAAAATATACTAAATTATGCATGCATTATATCTAATTATTATTAAGCTTTTTGATAATTTTCTTCTGTAGTTATTTGGAAAGTGTCGTTTCTGGAGTCATTCCTCTATTCTAACCCTTTGGGTACTTATACATTAATCTTCTGATTTAATTATTTCATTGATTGCTATGATCTTATCTATATCTGTAAAATTTGAAATCTATCATCTTCTATTCTAATATGAAGATTCGGTCTTCCGCCCATTGCTCTTATTCATATATTGCCAAGGCTTTGGTTTCAAAGGCATAGGATAGTCTCTTATAGGATGGGGGGGGGTTCCGCCTATCTATTCCAGTATATGAATCGTGGTTATCTGAATGAATGCCAGATATCATCTCGTATTAAAGCTTCTGAATTTTTAAGGGAATATATGCATTATTTCTGATGTTGTAACTTTTAATAATGCAGTAAAAAAGCACGAGAAAAACGAGT